CAGATGTTGCTAAACTTCATCAAAATCCTGCACCAGCCCCTCCCAAAGACCTTGGACAAGGTAGCGTTAACCCCCTGTGGTCTTCTTGAGCACTGCGCGGCGGGGGGCCTCTTTACTTCTGGGTGCTTGGTTACACTTAGTTTGGCTCCCTGCTTAGGCAAGGCTGCTTTGGTTGACTGAGCTTGGATCCTCAGCATGGTCCTGCCTTGTCTCCCCCTCTTGCCCCCCAGAATGGTGAATCCTGGCACCTCACAAGTAAACCTGGGGGGACACACCTCATTTGTGAGTTGAGAACATCTTAAACTTTTTTCTGCCCACTCCTTGGTTGTGGGAAAAGGTGGTCTCGTCCACTTGGTGTAGAGGCAATGGCTGTGAGGGCGCCGTTTCCTCTGAGTGCTCTGCTGCCACCACCGCTGGGTCTTGGGCCCGCTCTCTTTCCTAGGTTGTTGCTTTTTCTCACAATTACTGGGTTTTGTGCTCCAGATCTTAGAACTGGAGGCTCCAGAGTCCCTGGAAGGGTCACTGACTGACGAATGCACAGGGCCCAGTGGACACTGCCCTGTCTCTGCTCTCGGCCTGGGCCCTGCCCAGCTTGCCCAAGGTGGCCCCTGTTTCTGAGACTGAGTTTGATTTGAAAGTTGTTGAGCTCCTTTCCTCAACTTGGAGTCAGGATGGTTAAATTTACAGCTGGCGGAATGCTTCCCAGAGGATGAGTGGGGCCGTATTGATCGGAGCGAGTGAGTCAGGCGTCTCCGCCTGGAGCAGGCGCTCCATCACTGGCTGGCGGCGTCAGCTCCCCACGGCAACATTTCCCCCACGCCTTCCTCAGTCTGCGGAGGGAAGGTCAAGTCGCTGGAGGCTCAGAGGGCTGGAGTGCACAGAGCTGGGCTCTGAGAGCAGACAGGTCCAGAGCCGGTCTCGGGGGGCCAGCCTCTCATCTGAGTGAGCTTCCATCTCCTCTGCTGTGAGGAGGGGCTGCCGATACCCCCCATGGGGGCCAGGATGGCACGTGCCAGTCCAGGACAGCCTGAAAGACACAGGTGCCAGGTCGGTGCATGGGCTGGGCTGTTATTAGGTCAGTGTAGCCTCTGAGCTCCCCAGATAGAAGGTGTAACCACCCTCTTCTCTCTCCTGGGGGTTCGCACTTGGCTCTCATTTGGCCGGTTGTGTGCCAGGAACAAGACCAGGAGTTGGATTTACTGCATGAAAGAGGAGAGTCCCTGAGGGCCCAAGGGTGGACATCAGGGTGGCCAGTCATGTTGGCTCAGCCACACGGTGGTCACTTCAGGGGAACTTACGGGTAGTTCCCAGGAGTCACCAGTCCCATGTGACAGGAGCCTTGTCCAGCGATGGTGGAGAGGGGGGCACTGCTCAGGATGGTGGCATTACAAGCACGCAGGAGCTTCTGTCTAGTGCCTTCGACATGTTTTTGCTTTAGTGACATTTTTATTTGTATCGTGAATGATTAAAGGAGGCTAGGAAATGGTTTTTCTTAACTCCAAGAGGATTCAATAGTTTGTAATAAACGATTCCCAGACTTCATCCCTGACTCAACAGCTGCGAGGGCTGGCCCAGGGCGTCGTGCTCTCAATGCCTTGTGACAAGAGCTCCAACATCATTCAGCTCATGAGGACCCTGCTTTTAAAAACCTGTATCCCTTGATTTTAGCTTTTCATTTAACCAAAGAGGGAGTCCACAATTCGAGGTTCCGTTTCTCCAGCTCTCTCAGCTCTCCATTGTTTGCTGTGCAGCACTACACGTTGCACAGCGGCCTCTGTGAGGGCCCAAGGTCCCTGCAGGGAGGTGACAGGGACAGTCCTGGGCCCTGTGGCTTTCAAGACCTCGCATCACCTTGGTGTCGTGCTGGGAGGTGACTGCTGTGCTCCTGGTGTCTGCAGCCAAGCCTTGTTCGAGGTTCCCTCCTTAGTGGCTGTCACTAGGTAACTAGAAACTGACTCAACAATCTAAAGATGCGGATGTTGTGGCTAGGGTGTTAAGCCTTAGCCTGCAGTGCTTCCAATCCAGCTCCCTGAGAAAGCATCGGAAGATGACCCAAAGCCTTGGGACCCTCCCCGCAGCATGGGAGACCTGGGCGAGTTCCCGGCCTCTGGCTTTGGCCCAGCCCAACCTCCATCATCCCAGCTGTTTCTGCAGGCAGGAGTGTCCTTGTGGGCCAGTGGGTAGATCTTCTGTTTCTCCTTCCCTCGTGTCACTCTACCTTTCCAGTAAGTAAATAACCATTTTTTTAGATTTCAAAGATCTTTTACTTTTGGCCCCTTTTAATGAAGAGAAAATAGTGAGCAGCCTAGTTATTTTGAAGTAAAAGCAGGAAGAGAAAAATACCCACCAAAGCCCATCTCCAAATGGAAACTTTTGGTATTTACCGGGCAGCATCTTAAGAACATTCAGGAACACAGCGCTCAGGGCTGCTGCTTTCCAGCTGAAGGGTATCAGTCATCACGTGTTAGCAACTCGGCCTTTCCTTACCCCTTCCCTACCTCTGCCCCTGCTCTTTCTGCAGCAGAGGTAAACTCACCGTTGTGTGCTCCGTGCCTGGGAAACAGGGCGGGCCTTTCTGCAGGCAGGTAGAGTCCTTGTAGAGCAGGGGTGACCCGAATCCCAGTGGGTGTGAAGCTGGTAGTCCCTACTGGAGGAGAAGCCTGTGGCTGGGTGGGCACTGTGGGGCCGTGGGCATGGGTGTACGGTGAGGGTGTGGGAGGCTGCAGCCTCTGTCCCCTTCGCTTGCCTCAGGACCATTCCCCAGCCGGGTGGGTGAGTGTCGTCAGGGCCCATCCTCTGCTGGCCTCTCCTGGCTGGAGGGTTCGCTCGCCATGCACAGTGTGGGGGCAGGGGAGGGGGGCTGATGTCTGGTCTCCAGCACTAGCACGAAGGGTGAGAAAGAACGTGGCTTCTTGGTGGTTTTCAGTCTGAGAGAGAATGAATTTCCAAGAAGATTAACTCAACCGGAAAGTGATTCTTCATTTATATGAAGTCAAGTATTTTCAGAATTGTCTCTGATGACAATTGTAGGCTCCTAGAAGACAGTAGAAAAAAAAATAATCAACACAGTTAACTGCCTGTGGAGGTAAAAGTGACCCTTTAACAAAGAAGAGAACGGCAACTTTTCAAAAAATTCCTGCTTTGAAAAGTACATCCTGAAAACAGATGTTTTAAAGTATTTTCATCACTAGGTGTGTTTTGCAGCCAAAAATGATGGAAGCCTATCACCTGTAAGGCTGTAAAATCTGCAGGTTGCTAACTTGGCTGGAAATCCCTTCTGCAGAGCCCTCCATGGCTGATGAGTGAGTTGTCACAGACCTGGGAAGGCAGCCACACCTTGTGCTTGTTCAGGAGCCTTTATGTGACATCAGGGAATGGAGCTTGTCAGCAACACGTTCACAGAGCGCTCTGCACCCCTAGTGGATAAAAGGGGAGGATGCCTGCTGTGTGGCCAGGAGCGGTCAGCTCCCTCCCGGATCCACACAACTCTGGGACAGTGCGTTTCTGCAGTGGGTAAGGCCCCCTCCGCCAGCCACCTCTAGTCACACGAGAAAGGGGCACCATTACAGTGCTGTTGATTGCTAAAACTGTTACAGCTCAGGAGTTTGAATGATTTCCAAGAGCTTCCTTGTTAGCGCCAGTAAGTGGTACATTAAAATGTTTTGAAGTACTGGTTAGTTCATCCTTATCTTGTCCTTCGCAACGTTCTGGTTTCTGGTATTTTCACATGTTCGTACTGTGCCAACACTGTCAGCACACAGACAGACATCCACAAGTTGCTGATGCGTGAAGGGGCACAGGCAGCTTTGGCAAGTTAGGTTCGTGGCATCACCTGCCATTCCCCATGAGAGCTGGCAGATGACCCTCCTGTCCTTACCCAGCCACTGAGTCTGGTCGCAGCACACACAGTGGTGGTGCCTTTACAGTCCACTGTTTCCTGGGCTTCCTGGGCTCCTATAAGAGAAGAGAGCGGCAACTTTTCAAAAACAGATGTTTTAAAGTATTGGTGTTGGTATCTCCCTGTTGGCCACCGCTTGCTTGGGTTCCCCAGCTGCTGTCTGCCTCAGTCCAGTGGCAGAGTTCCCATGGGCCCAGAACAGCCACAGTTTTCCCTGCGGGACTGCAAAGACACCACACTGGCTGTGGGAGCCCTGCCCCTGGGGACATGAGTGACTGTGGTGCTCGTGCTGTGTCTGGATGGCGGTGCCGAGAGGGAATAGGTGAGCCTAGCAGCTGGCGCCGGTGGACAGAGCCTGCCACAGTAGCAAAAGCAGCACTGAATGCTTGATGTTTCCAAAACCCATGACCGATCTCTGGCAGGCGAGCATGGTAAGAGGTCCTTCTCACTGTGTGTAGACATGCATGCATAGATAAATGCAAATGTGGCACAGGGTTATACAACGTGACAGCCATTCAATGACCAATGAGCCGGCGTGAGGACTGAAACCGCTGAAGCTTCATACCCCCTGTTCATTGCACGGTGTGGGCCACTGTGGCGTGCCATGTTCCGCAGCAAGCAGTGCGTTCATGGTTACCAAAGGTCTTGTCTGTAGCTGGTTGATCCTAGGGAAAAGGGGGAAAAAAAAAACAACCCACTGAGCAGTTGTGCTTCAGGCTTTTTGGTAAACAAACAGCTGTACTAGCTGCACAACTTTGGTCATGCTCCCCTCATGGGGCTTTGCTGTTTTCGCCTGTAAAATGGACCTAGCACTTCTGTGCAGTATCTAGGAGTTAGAAGTATGCTGTCTGCAGAGTCTAAGAAGGGACAGGTGATTGTAGATCTGGCCATTCAGTTTAGCCCCGGGCAGAGGCTGGCCACATGTGCAGGGGAATGTTCCCACCACCACCACTGCTGTGTTTCCAGAAAGTGTCCATCAGCCTGCGTGGGGTCTCGGAGTCCTGTTTGCTCATGAACTCCCATCAGATAGGATTTTAGTGTCCAGATACTTATTTTGTGATCAAAATGTTTTCTAAACCTGTCTCTACTTTTTGTATTGTAGGAACCCAGCTGTTTAGTGGACGGAGTGACTTTAGAATCACCACCTTGAAGTTCTATCCGAACGACCCCAGCATTTTTTTATGTGGTGGCTTCAGCTCTGAGATCAAAGCTTGGGACGTGAGGACTGGCAAGGTAATGCACTCCTTCTTGCGTCTCCTTTTCTTGGGCACTTGTCCGGCAGGAGGAGTCACAGGGCAGGACAGCGGAGGAGCCTACATGCTCTGCAGTGACCACTCGGTGGTTCGTCGGTGTAGAGCTCAGCTCTCGGAGTCCTGAAAGAACACTGGGATAACACTGGTGCAGGTCTGGGTGGTGAGGTCATTCCTGTGTGCACACACTCCCAGATGATGTAATGGGACTTGCCCTTGGCTCCTGAGGGCACAGGTCACTAGGTCCTGTGTGTACGTGTGTGTGTGTGTGTGTGTGTGTGTGTGTGTGTGTGTGTGTGTGTGTGTGTGTGTGTGTGTGTGTGTGTGTAGCACTTCCTGCAGGGGTTGCCCCTGACTCTCATTCCCATGTCCTGCTGCTGTGTCAAGTTCGCTCCGTCCATCTGATCGGTTGGGCCCCGGCAGGTGTCACAGCCCACCCACAAGCTGTCTGCCATTCCTGTTGTCCTGCCTTCCCGACTCTGAGCCCAGTGACAACAGCTGTCTCATGTTAGGGCTGTGGTTTCCTCTCTGGCCTCTCTCTCATTTTCACCAAGTGGTCCCGTCCCTCCCTGGCCACAACTTCTAGGCTGTAGTCCTGAGGCCCCTTGGCGTCTTCCAGAACACACTAGTTCGTTCCTGCCATAGGGCCTTGCATGTGTTGCTCCTGGTGCAGGGGTGCGGGGAGGCCGGCCCCGTGCAGCAGACCCTGTGTCCTCCAGCCCTGCCTGCTGCCTTGCTCCTTCCCGCAGTGCTGATCACCACCTGACGTACTACAGGATATTTTTGGTGTTCATTTACTTGCCTCTTTCTACTCTAAAATAAGCTCTTTGAAAGCAAGCAGAGATTTTTGCTGTGACTGACACTCTAGCTCTGAAAATGCACTTGGTGAATCACGGTTGACGAAGAGACTGGGTGACCAAGGAGGGCAGTGATGTAGAGTGTGTGAGCCCAGCAGGTGGGGAGAAGCTGTGTGTGGGGACCAGTGGCCAGCCGCCCTGGGCTGGGCCCAGCGGAGAGGCCTTGAATGCCGATGGTACTGGATGGCTGAAGGGGACTCCTGGGGTATCATCGGGCCCGGGCCATGGTGGCAGTGGTGGCCCTGGAGGAGATGGAACACAAGAGGCTGGAGAGCTTTGCCAGACGCAGGCCACAGGCCCGGCTTCAGCAGGCCTTGCTCTGCCCTTGGGCTTTGCTGCTGTGGTCTGAAGCGGGCACAGCTTCTCCAGGTCTGTGGGGCAGTGGGTGGCTGACTGTGCAGGAGGGTACAGCGTGTCACCGAGTCTCTTGTCCCCAAGAACCATAGCCAGTTGTATTGGCAGCACTAGAAGATTCTGCCTAACAGCATCATGCCTCTGACAGTGCCTCCCCTCCACCCCCAGGACAGGTGCAGGCCCCAATCTGGCCTCCCCATGCAGAGGCCCGTGTGCGTGTCATCTGGGCAGAAGGGAGTTGTAGCCTTGAAGGCCTAGATTGCAAGTTTGCCTTGATTTTCAGCTGTCCTCTACAGGGAGGCCCTGCTGGCTTTTTGATCTTGTTGTGAAAAGAACCTGAATACAGAGAGCCTTTTGCTTTCAGAGTGCAGAGTTTGGCCCACAGATAATCTTGCTTCAAGCACTTCACAGAGGGAAGTAAAGATAGATATATTCTTTTTTTTTTTTAAAGGAGGTGGGGCGGGGTAGAGGGTCATGCATTTTTCTTTTTACATACAAAGAAACTTTTCATAGAAATATCTGGGAAAGAGGAGAAAGAAGCTATGCTCAAAAAAAGTGCACACAGTGGAATTTTTTTAAAATCACTGCAGTCTGTACTGGGATATGAATACACAGAAAATGAGATGTTTGAAGGTGTTTACACGTCGGAAACGCTGAGTCATGCTGTCAGGAATGGGACCCCTGGCTTCTGTGACGGCCTCCCTTCAAGCTGTACCCGTGGCACTTGCCGTCCTGACTCTGAGACCAAACTCTAAGAAATTACTCAGCAAGGAGGCCGTCTGACTTGAGAGTTGGTTAAAAATATCAGATTTTCTCCCAGGGCAGATACCAGCTGACGAGCTCTGGAAATGCTGGGGGAGCAATTAGAGGCAGATGTTGCTATGACTGGACCTGGCATGTTTGCGAGTGTCTCCCGAGCTGAAGGTGTGAGTAGAGGGATCTGTGCGCTGTTTGTTTGTACTCCTGTTGCAGCAACAATCCTCCCCCGCCGGGTCACAGGACGGGTGGGGGGGGCTCTGGCTGTGACAGGTGCCCCTGGAGCGCACTGCTCTGTCCCAGGTGCTGAACGCCTGTGCCAGCTTGAGCAGCATGCGGCAGTGGGGATCACAGGGGTACAGCGCAGGGGGCACACAGGCCTTGCCTCCCGACCCAGACAGGCTTCCCCTTCTGTTTGCACTGGGGAGGTGTCCTTTACTGTAAAGTGCTGTGTGAACATAGGACAGAGCTGGGCAGTTTAGCAATAGAAAGAGGAGGTGTGGTCCAGTCAACCTAAGGTAAAACAGAAACATCTTGATCTCTTTCATTTTTCTTTCCTCCTGTGGTTTGGTCTTCATTCATTTATTTTTTTTAAGATTTATTTCATTTTACTGGAAATCCAGATATACAGACAGGAGAAGAGACAGAGAGCAAAATCTTCCATCTCTTGATTCACTCCCCAAGTAACTGCAATGACCGGAGCTGAGCCGATCCAAAGCGAGGAGCCCAGAGCTTCTTCTGGGTCTCCCATGCGGGTGCAGGGTCCCACGGCTTTGGGCCGTCCTCGACTGCTTTCCTAGGCCACAAGCAGGGAGCTGGATGGGAAGTGAAGCTGCTGGGATTAGAACCAATACCCATATGGAATCCTAGTGTGTGCAAGCCGAGGACTTTAGCCACTAGGCTACTGTGCCAGGCCCAATTCATTTATTTTTAAAGGAAATTTATCTATCCTTTTTCTAAAGATGTATTTATTTTTATTGGAAAGTAGATTTACATAGAGAAGGAGAGACAGAAGGATCTTCTATCCACTAGTTCTCTTACGAAAGGGCCACAATGGCTGGAGCTAAGTCAGTCTGAAGCCAGGGGTCTTCTTCTGGGTCTCTCACATGGGTGCAGGGTCCCAAGGCTTTGGGCCGTCCTCTGCTGCTTTCCTGGGCTGTAAGTAAGGAACTGGATGGGAAGTGGGGCAGCAGGGACACAACAGGTGCCCATATGGCATGCTGATGCTTGCAGGTGGGGGGTAAGCTGATTGAGCCATCATGCCTGCCCCAGAATATTTATTTATCTTTATTTTGAAAGACAGAATGAGACAGGAGCAGGGTGAGGAAAGAAGATGGGGGAGAATGAGAGGAAGATTTTCCGGTTTGCTCCCCAGGTGTCTGCAGCAGCCAGTGCTGGGCTAGCATGAAGTCAAGTTCCAGGGCCTCCGTCCAGTTCCCCCCGTGGCGGCAGGGACCCGAGGACTTGGGCCACTGTCCACTGCCTTCTCAGGCATGTTAGCAGGGAGCCACCAGCTGGATGTGCACTGGTGCTGTGCCACGGAGTGCCAGCTCATAAGCTGTGACTTAACGTACAGCTCTGCATTGGCAGTTCCCCTTGTTGATTTTTTTAAAAAATAGAAACACAGGTTGACCTTTTGTTTTTAAAAGAAGATTTATTTTATTTATTTGTTTATTTTATTGGAAAGGCGGATATACAGAGAGGAGAGACAGAGAGGAAGATCTTCTGTCCAATGATTCACTCCCCAGTTGGCTGCAACGGCTGGAGCTGAGCCAATCCAAAGCCAGAAGCCTCTTCCAGGTCTCCCACATGGGTGCAGGGTCCCAAAGCCTTGGGCGGTCCTCGACTGCTTTCCCAGGCCACAAGCAGGGAGCTGGATGGGAAGCGGGGCCGCTGGGATTAGAACCGGCGCCCATATGGGATCCTGGCACGTGCAAGGTGAGGACCTTAACCACTGTGCCATCGTGCCGGGCCCCTGACCTTTTGTTTTTAAGCACGTATTTTAGTTTACTTTCATAAGGTACTGTAAAAGTTTGTATTGCTACTGCCTGTTGTGGAACCTTGGAGTAATATTCCTTTGACCCCATGTGCCCTACTGTGCTGTCTTCCTCCCTGTGCTGTCCCCCAGTGCTCAAACACGGTCTGACACAAGCAGGTGCTGGGCACATGTCCACAGAGTGAGTTACCGAAATGAACGCAGTCTGCAGCTTATTGAGCCACTTCCCTGTGTTGGATGTGCCAGGTGGAGTTCAGCCTGAGCACACTACTGCCTGAAGCTGAATCCTGTTTGGCACTTGTTTTTACAAGTTTTATTGGAACCCAGTGCCACTGATTCAGCCACGTGTTGTCAGTGCCTGCTCTCACACTACAGAGGCGGAGCTGAACAGCTGCAGCAGAGACCATGTGACTTGTAAATCCAGAAGTGTGTACGCTTCTGGCTGACCTGGATAAAGGGGTGGGGGGGAGGTCTGCTTTGTACCTCTGCTACCCTGAGGTCATCAGGTACCTGGGGGTGCCCTTACTGTGGTCCGGTCCGTGTATCTTGGCAGGAACCACAAGCTCAGGCAATGCTCTATAGTCGGACGGGTGTCAGTCATCTCTGTTGTTGTAATCTCCCGGCAAATCAGCAAGGGCTACTTTGTTACACATGCCTCTGTTAAGAAAGATTTTTGTGCCTCTGGCATCTTCCGTATTTGGAACTCAGTTCCTTAAGCTTGAGTCCCAGGATTCACCCTGCCAGGGCAAAGCGAGTGAGCGTTTTGAGGGTAAGGAGTACATTGCTGCTGATAGAACTGAGGCATGCATCTGCCCCTGGAGCGCCGCAGAGCCAGCAGCCTTGCCCTGCTCTCCGAGGCAAGGGGCGGAGAACTTTCAGGCCACTTTGCAGTCGTGGGAGTTTAGGATTTATCAAATGCTGCCGTTCTGAACTCCTCCAACAGAGCCTGATTCTGTGAGGCAAACGGGCTGTTTGGCTGCCCTCGCTCGCACTCGGTCCAGGCTGTCGGGGGTTGATGGT